CTCCTTGACTCACTAAATGAGCCGAGTGAAGGATGTTGTGCTCTTCTGCATAAACGCTCGCAGCAAAATAGAGTTTATTAAGACCCATAAAAAACAACATTAAAATTCACAACCAAGGGAGCGTCGCCTGACCCCTGGAGAATGATAAATTAGTTTGTGTTGCTCTAGCAAAACGACCATTTTATACCTTCATCTTCCCCCCGGAGCTGACTCCCCTTCAGTGTGGAAGCACCGCAAAGGGCCCTGGACTAAGAGGCTTTGGCAGCAAGGAGACATTTTCAGATGACGCTGATATCATTCCGCCTGCTTCCCTCCTCGTAGGAAATCACTCAGTGATGTGAATGACATTTAATTCAGCTGCATGTCTGCTCTTTACATTCATTGGTGTCAAGCGGGTACGGCGTGGTGCTGCACTGCACATGCCTTCACCTAAGCAGATCTGAATTTGACATTGAAGTGTCTGTTGTAATAATAGAGAGCAAGGGCCAAGAAAATAAAAGTAAGAAATCACTCCTGAAATCTCTTCGGTCGATACGAGCAGCAGCTTAGGGCTCAGTCCATTGATATCTTTGATTATATATTCTACTTTTCACTTACCAAGGATGAAGTGTTTTCTGCAGCCAGTGCTGCTCTGCTTATCTGGGACAGGTTGTAATTGTTGAGTGCAGCCACCTCCTCATTGTTAGTTTGAGGGATGGTACAACAGATTTCATGTGACAGCAGCACTTCCATTTCCCACAAGACAGAACGTGCAGGTGTCTGGGCAGCATTTTAGAAGAGATGAAAGAAAATGTCAGAAAGAGTTAAGAGGGGTAACTTCTAGTTTTCTAGTATTCTACAGCCCAGGCCATGTACTCTTTACATGTATGAAGCTGTTGCCCTGTTCATGTCTCCCTTTAATGACGATTTGCCTGCTAACTGAAGTCCCTCGCGAGTCATCAACAGCAACTCATTAGCACTATGCTAAGCTAATGGATCAGTAAATGGATTTTTATGTGGGCATAAATGCTAATTCGCTACACTGTGGCGCTGTTCGACAACGCTGTGTTTAGCAAGTCAGTCTGAGCCTCGGGGGTGTGTTTGTGTCTCATTAGGCTCGGCCAGGGATCTATTGTGGATGTGGAGGACTCAGTGGCAAAACAGAAATACAATGACAAAGGCCTAAAGTGCTGCAACACTTGTCCATCCTGCACCTGAAGCTTTTATTGAAGAGTGGAGAGATATCCCACAAGTGCAGACACAATTACTTTTTGAAAACAGAAAAGCGGCCTGTAAGACTGGAACTGATCGAGCGTCAGGTGTTATTATGTTGCGTGATGGTTGTTGATATCTGGGATTGACACTGACACAAACTGAAGCTTCTTGATAAACCTGAGATGTGTAGCTCAGAAAGATAGCTCTCATACATAAGTGTTGACTTGTAGACCCTCTTATTCTCCCACACCACCATTTACTCTGTGTGTGTCCATCCACAACTCAAATACATTTCCATACACTCTTTTATTCATCAGTTACTGGACACATTCCCGATTGCAAATGCTAACTGGCAATTGTAATCATATTTTCTCTTCTAGTACTCTGGGGATAATCTGTGTGGGGAGGTTTTTCTCTGGTAAAAATTTACATGAAGCCCGTAACCAGCAAACACTGGTCAGACATTGTGTCCCTGGCCAAAAATGGTCCCGGTAGGATGCCAAAGGCGGTTATGAGGCAGGCAGCAAGATGGTGACGCTATTTTCACGTGCAATAATGGTCCAGTCAGATTCTCTCTTACAAACAAGGACCTACTGATCATAATAGTGCTATGAAAAAACAAATGCATATATCTTTTTTAACACCATTTATTAACAATTGATTTGTTTGACTGTGAAATGGTTGTGAACCGATGGCCACACCGTGATGTCCACTCCATATCCAAATATGTATATATATATATATATACATGTAAATAATATTCCTGTCTCATCATTTTAGGCCTGTGGTGTTTGTAAGAGCCAGAAGTCTTTATCTAAGCTGTCTTTGATTGCACATGGGGGAAGTAACCTTTAGGGATTACTGCCAAATACTCAGGTGATGCAGTATAAAAAGCAACAAAGTCCACCTCAGCAGAGAGTTGTGGTGGATGAATGGATACAGTACAGAGCTTCCACTCAGCTGACTGGGCTGTGAGTCCTGTGTTGGTCAACACTGCTTTATTATTCTGCTGCGATAGCGTCATATTTCAATATTGCCAGGGCGCTCAGGAAAGGGGGCCGGCTGATCGCCAGGTAATGTCACAGATGTTTGCACAACTTTCACTTTGGGACTATTTTTGAACCATTGTGGGACGTCTTGATTGGATGTTGAAACAATGGTCATTCAATGTCATGATGTTTGCTGGGCAGTGTCTGATACCTACAGTGTACAGCCTACACTAATATGTTATAACATTTAGAGTGCATCATAAGACTTTCTATATGCCTTTACAACCTATAACTAACAAAGGTCATAAGGCATCATAAGAATGATCATAATAATAAGGTCAAGTATCACAACAGCTTAGACTAAAGTGCCATATTTGCATTAGAGATAATAAGGTCTGACGAACATTATGGTTCTTCCTACAATCAGAGTACATAGAGTGCAGCTATAGTTTACCATAACATCTTCAGGACAGCTCATTATCTACTTCTGGTAAAGTAAGGGTTTCTGCAAACATAGCTACAGCGCAGCACCAAAGATGGCAGGGGGCTGGATACCACCTTCGTACCATTTGTTGATCCTGACAGTAACCCACATTCAAAACCCTGAGACAGCAAGACAGACATTGAAAATGGAAGGGAGCAGCAGCAGGGCCTCGTTGAAAGAACATCTCTGACTGAGTGGGAGTTGAGTGGGAACACTGGCTCGGCAGCAACCGCAGAAACCACACGTCTCAGAGTCTCTGCAGCCAACTGGAGCACATAATATTCTTGATGATGCTGCATGTTGGGCTATTTTCACCATTTTCACCTTTCTTACAGCAAATATTACTCATTTCTATTATATTCTATTATGTACAGACACTGTCAAGGAGAAGAACACAGAGGAATGGCTACAGAAAGCATGGTGGCGCTTTATTTTACGGGCCTGTTATTAATGATTTCTTCAAGGTTTCCTGGGAAGAGGTCTGTAACTTGGTATTAAATGCAGGAAGAAAATAGATAGTTCTAAGAGTCATTACGGTTTACTTGGTTGTGTTGATTTTATCATCAGTTATTGGTTTCAGGAGGGATTTCTTTGAAAGCTGCATAGTTGTAAACCAAAATAAAAATGTATTCATCATTAATTTATTATCATAAACATAACTTTCCATATATACTGAATTGTATGCTACCATGTAGATTAATTTACAATTTCTACACTGTCACCTGACCTGATGTGCTCCGAGTAAAAGACTCAAGGTTATGCTATGTCAACAACTAGTTAGGATGAATAAAGTGATCCAATTGAACACTGTATTCTGTTTCATCAGTAATTATTTCAAAAGCATTTCTCAGAAAATTATGGAACTGTAAATTAAAGCATTACAGAAAGCATCATGATGTTCATAAAACTTTATAACTTTTCAATGCATATCGGGTCAAGTGATTATAAGCAACTATGACAATGTATCAGCCATTATAACATATTAAGTGGCATTGGTAAATAATAATTTCATAGCACCCTCATCACTTTCCTAAATTATTAATTATTATTAAATATTATTACAAATGGCTCCCAACATAGTTAAAATAATGTTTAATGTTTGCTTACTGTAATTACTGTTAATAAATTCTGTGTATTTCAAATATACTGATGCTCATCAACATATTTGAAATACACAGACTTTATTAACAATAATAACTTAAACCTAATTTAATTAATTCAACATATTTGAAATTCACAAAATTTAATGGTAATTTCCATAAACTTAATTCAAATAATTAGACATATATGAAATATACAGAATTTAACAGTATCTACATAAACTTTATTGGAGTAAATTAGATAACATCTATGCACTATAGTGACATAAATTTTCATAGTCTGTCAAATCAAATTAATAAACTAAAAATTTATGTAACTATAGCGCATAGATGTTATCTAATTTACTCTAATAAAGTTTATGTTTGATGGAAATTTTGTATGTAATTTAAGTACGAAACCCTGACAAAATAGACCTCATATCATTTCTTTGAGTGTATGGTGCATTCTCCCTCACATGAGGGCATGCGTCAACTTCTGCAGTGTAATATTCTGCTGTTATAATGCATTATGCAGTAGACTGCATTATAATACATCATACACAAAGGCTTCATAGAAAGTGTTACCCAGTTTCATTTAGTCTTCACAGAAAAACTTTGTCCTTTTTATTGTTCCCGTTTGTCTCAGATACTGTTGCCGTGTCCCTGTTTGGGAAATAATTGGACTGTAGTATTGTAGTTTTCTTTCAAAACAGGGACAGTGTGAAATAAAAGTATGAAATATTTATATATAGACATTTGAGGACCAGAAAAAGCATTTAAGGCCCTGACAATATCAGGACTCTCCCTCAGCTCGGGGCCCTAGATAACCCCTCCATCACCATGCAGGAGAGATTGAGAGTCAGCGGCTCAGTGCTACGACTTGGAGAACATAGTTTGACGATATGTGCTGGTGAAAATGCACAACCACTGGCAGACGCTGACATTTTTAGACCAATTTACAAGTAGAGGTCTAGATATTTGTTGTTTTTGTTCTTATTTAGATTTTTGCTAAAATCAAGATCTACTCTGCCACTGCCCCACTGAGTGCAACTGCGGCGTCAGTTCCTGCATTGACAGTGACTCAAAACAAAGGGACAATTTATTTACGGTGAGTGCGAACCAAAGAAGCGATGAATAAAGGCAGCATGAAATCAAAAGTATGGGATCAGGTGGAAATTGGTATTTTCTCACTACAGAGACCACTGTTGACCCGGAAAACACTCGCACACACACACCAAATACACACTCCGCAGCTCCCGGGAGCGGACGCTCTCTTTATATCCTCAAATGCATACATTAAGATGGAGATGTACAGGATTCTTTAGTACAAAGAAATGAAAAAACAGGGGGTAGACGCAATAACAGGAACACCTGTACAATATTATGCAATCTATTGCAATCACCCTGCAGCAATTATTGTTACGTTGTGGTATTTGGGTTGTGTTTCATTTTATTCTGTGGTTTTGAAATATCTTACTGGTGTTCGTATTATTGTGTCCACCTTTTGTACTTCTCTTGAAAGAATGCCTCTTGTGCTCCTCCTTTTCTTTACCTCCTCTTGGAATGAGACCCACAGAACATAAAATACATTGATTGAATATATATATATATATATACATAGTTTGAAATATATCAAGCATCTGAAATCAGCAAATAGCACGTCCAGCTGGCCAAAACATTTCATATCAAAATATAGTTGATTTAGACAAGGATTCTGAATACATTTAATCACGCATGAATTGATTTTAATTACAGAATTTAACTTATGTGACACACTGCAGATCTGTCCCCAGTTTCAATAATATTTCCCCCAATATAAATATCTCTATGTACTAAAGAAAAGACACGAAAGAAAAGAAAAGGCAAACCCAGGATTCATCCGAGAAGATTCAAATGAGATCCAACATCTGTAAAATCACGAATGCTTCTCTTGCCAGATGGTGAGCTCTGGTCTGGGTGTGTCCCAAAAATATACAAGAGTATGAATAATGCATCAGATATGACTTATTTCACAGTGTATCTCTGGATGTGCACACACTCACACACAAGCACACAAGCATACACACACATACTGTATGCACACATGGAGAGATGCAAACATGCGCACACACACACACACACACACGCACACACACACACACACACACACACACACACAGTATAGACCATTAAAATGAGCCAGGGGTCCACATCTGCTAAATGCTCCCAGTGGTGTGTACAAGATGTGTGAGGTTCATTGACAAAAACTACTCTTCTAGTCTATGTTGGCACCACATAAAAAACATAAGTTATAAGCTAAGTTGTCCAAATTGTCCGCATTTCATCATCATGACCTTCAGTCATTGAGTAAAGACAGTCAACTCATCTCTGACGTCTCCTGTGACATTCCAAAAGACTTTCATGCGTTTTTTTTTTTGTTTTTTTTTGTCTGTTTTTTTTTGTACAACGTCCGTCCTGTGTATGCAGAGATTTTGGAGACGTAAAGTTTCACCCACCCAAATCAGAGAAGAATCCAGTGGACACTCCGTAAAGTCACGAGTCCTTAGCAGTGAGCTGTCATTAAAGAAACTTGGCTGGAATATAACCCTTGGACAGCTTCATAACGGGGATAGTAAAGAAGATGAAGGGGCCGACTTCTGAAAGACCTTCTGACAAGTCTAAATCAAGCCACAAAGGTACAAAAAAACCTTCAAGGAGCCTTCCCCTGCAGACCCGGTGTTGGATAACAAGGACAAAAAGAAAAACGGTAATGTACTTCAATGAATATTCCACTGCCCTGTTGATAAATGTTCCTCACAGGGATTTTGTTCTATGAAGATTCAGTGCCGACGGTGTACCATGCTGCTCACTTGAGACTTCTCAGAGTTCTCAGAAGTGTGCCAAGAGTCTTTCACTGTGGTGCTTGGAGAAGCTCTGGATTATTATTATTTTTTTTTTTTTTCAAACCTGTTGTTAAGTCTGGGAGTCTTGTTGGTGAATGGACACAATGTTTTGGTGAAGTGACTGGCCTCAGTTCCGTTTGTAGTGTGGATGTCTATGAACCTATGGAAGAACGGATAAGAAAAGAATTACAACACACAGTTGTTTCATGAGCTTCTTTCTGAAACAAACCTGTTACATAATTGTGCCAACAATTTTCCATGTCTAATATCTGAATAAGGCCCAGAGTCACTTTTATGTAAAAGTCCCGCTGGAAAGCAGGTCAGACGTAGTTAACATTTCCGTAACATTTTATGCAAGACAACTCTGAATTCAATACCACCACATGAACACAAAGGCAACTGCGACACAAAATACGGTTATATGTTCACAGTGATTAATGGAATTCTTACCCTCCCCAGATGACCATTTGTATATCTATTGCTCACCCCATGTTACAATGGATTTGTGAAGAAAACTTTGTTTCTCTTGTGGGCCTCCATGATGAACAAAGAATCCAAAAACAGCGAAAATTCTTGATGAACTGAAGTCAGCAAAACTGTAAAAAATATATGTTTAAAAACACACACCTCATGCAATATAATCCAAGTCTCATTTGTTCAGTCATATGTACGTATGTACTTCCCATGGGAACTGCCCATTGGTTCGACATCCAATTGTTCCGACCATATTAAACTCATTGATCTGAAGTCCGTTCCGAAATCATCATGATGCCCTGTGGTTAAGGTCTGGTTAGGTTTAGGCACAAAAACCACTTGGTTAGGGTCAGGAAAAGATCATGGTGTGGGTTAAAATGAAAAAGAAAGTGGCAAACACATAAACCGTGAGCCTGCTCCGCCTCAAGCCGGTCGTGGCGCACCATACGCCCGCCGCGAGCCGTTCAGCACCGCGGACAGTCAGACTAATGGGATGTCGAACCAATGGGCTGTCGAACCAATGGGCTGTCGAACCAATGACATGGACCCCTTCCCATACACATTACATTACCTTACTGTTAGACATGTCTCTCTGATGGATAGCTAAAATGACAATGAAAGTTATCTATGCCCTCTTCAAAGCCAGACTCCAGTGAGAAAAACAGCAATTTTACCCAACTGAATGCAGGAGCTGCTGGTCTACTACCTCTGTTGGTTACTTAGTTTGTGTTATTGTGTTACTTTGGTGTTTTTAAAGGTTAGCTCAGATTCACCAAAGTCAGAAAATAACATAAATAAACTACAGATTGCAGCAGTGGTAGACCAGCAGGTCTCGTGTTTAGCAAGGTAAAATTACTATATTTGTGAATAAAGTCTGACTTTGAAGAGAGCATCAATAAGTTTTGCTTCTATTTCAGTTCCCTGTCAGAAAGGGCTGTCTGTTTGAAAAAAGGACTGAGTATATGAGTGGATAAATGAGACTTGGATTACACTGCATGAGAACTCATAGTTTGTAAATGTTCTGATACAGTTCTGTTATAGTTAGTGGACCCCTACTGTATGACTTCAACTTTGGATTCTCTGTTCACTGTGGAGGCATATGAGAAAAACAAAGTTTTCTTCACAAATTCAATGTAACACGGGGTGACTTACTGATATGCAAATTGTCATTTTGGGGGTTGAAGTTTTCCTAAACATTCAGCTTTCATGCAAGAGAGGGAGGTAATAAATGTATTAAATCACTTTATTAGTATTTCCTGAACACAAAGAAGACAAAATCCACTTTAATAAATGCTTTTTTATTTGTTGTACCACAGTGAAGCAGAGTGCGTCAACTTTTTGGGGGAGTTTATTTCCCTTTTTGGTAACCACTGATTGCATACTTGTACAACAGAACCACCTGTTTTGTGTCAGATTACTGTCAGATTCAATAAGTGCTTCCTCATCTGTTTTTTAATATCAAAAATAAATTCAGTTCAATAAACCACAAAACACTGAATGAGCCAATTTAAAGCTGTTGAGGATATTATTGTTTTTTTTTTTTTTTACCCTCATGATGCAGGACCAGAAAAAAACAATAACACAGTATTAATAAGTCCAGCACCCCCTCCCTGTATTTTCAATTTTCATTTGAGCCGGCTCAAACAAAACTCTTAACATACAGCATGTGAGCAAATTAAGAATTAAATGAGAGCCCCAAATTAATGTCTTATCATACACTGCTCATGCACCGTTGGATATTTTAAAAAAAGGAAGCAGAGTTCTACTTTTGGCACATTTCACCTCTTGTAATGTGAACTTTAATAAATGAAGGAACCAATGACAAATACTATAAGGGTCCTCACTGTGAGAAGATGCTGAGCATCCCTAACACTCATGATGGTCTGTAATGAAAACCCAAAAACACTTTTCCTCCTTGATATTACTTTTGAACTCATTGCTGTTGTTGTTGTGTCCGTTGCAGCTGAGGTGCCAAACATGGGGCGTGCATGATGGCCTTTCCATAAGGATCTGAATAATGCTGAACATTTTCATAACGGCCATGTTTGATTGACAAAAAGCCATTACTCAAACAGATACATAAATGCAGAAATTTTATGTATTAGATGTCTGAAAGAGGCTTTATTTGAGCCTTAACAAAGCAAATTTCATGATTGATTCTGTAAAGGGATTGGTCTATACGTGTATGTACTAATATATTCCTCTCCACATGGAATACATTTCACCTCCAATGAAACTCTGTAGCTAATGACTTAATTTAGCCAATCATTTGATCAAGAAACCCATTTGAATGATAATAGAACTCTGCCATGAATATGTTATAGGGATAAATCCATAAATGTTAATACATAAATGATTCACGGTGACAGTGGACAAATGTGACACCCAGGACTGCCCATATAAATCATTCAGACACTTAAATATGAGTTGGCAAATCCACACAGAATTGCACAAATTCCCAGGGCTGGCAAATAAATATTTATGACGCCCCCAATTCCCCTTTTCTCCCTGTCCTTGGTAATTGTGCGTGATTCATTTTGTTTTCTCGGTGGAAGAGGGAAAATCAATCTTAGAATATTGGCTAGGAGACATAAACCATGCAGATTCCAAATGCCTGTGGTTTTGCAGAATATAAAAGCTCCGCAGATGCTTGGTCAATGTTCTTGGGAGAGGAATTTAGTTTAATCTTTAGATTTCCTAGTCTTTTAGAGAAAATAAAAATGTTTGCAGAAGTAAAGTTAACCTGCCAGAGGAGTCAGGCTAGCCTGCTCCCAACTCTAGTTTACCTGCCGACTTTTAATATCCGCTTGGAGGAATGTAAGGCACGCAGCCAAGTCTTAGGAGTCTCTTACCAGGGCATTTAGAGAAGGATTTATAAAATGTAGCTTTTTCTTTTGGTTATTGCTTTTGTCAAGAACATCCTTCTGTTCATTATCAGTTTTCTACCTTTGTCCTAAAAGGAAGCCTGGACACTTGAAGTAGCCTTTTCCTTTGATGTAACCACAGTGGGGCTTTTTAGTTTCCCTCATTATGAATTTCAAAACTTCCAATAAAACCCTTTCATTTCCCTTTTTTGCAGCATCAAAGTGACTGCATCCTGAGAAATGGGAGATTCCATTGTATCTTCACCAAGTCCTGGATGATCTTTATCTAAGCTCAGTGGTGAGAGCAGCACTAAAAAAATACATAATGAATACTCACCAATGGCTGATTCATTCAGGGTCTGAGCTACACTGAACCTTTGTATAACTTTGAATCAAGGCATGGACTCTGCTGTTCATCAAGTTTCCCTTAAGAGTTATTATTTCTGCTTTCAAAAAGATGCAAAAACCCAAATGTCTTTGGTTGCTTGTATGTCACGGTGAACGGAAGCTGGGTTGTACACTCCATATGCAAATTAGAATAGAATACATCATTAAAAAACTCACATACTTGCTGTTTTCTCTGCATCCTACGATGGCTCCTTGGGCAAAGGCTGGAAAAGAAAAGTAGAAGGTCAGAATCGGAGGAACAGAGGGCCAGCCTTCACTAACGTTTTATTCAACTTTCCCTCAGCACATTGGCCTTAGACGCAGAGCAGCATATGTCCATTTAAAAGCACAGATGGCATGTCTTCCAATTATATCTAAGGCAAGACGATGGAAGCTGAAGGTTATTTTGTTCTCTCCCAGTTTTTATGACCTCTGAGGACGCCACTTCTCTCCTCGACCAGAAAATACAAGCGAGTAATGGCCACCTCATCATCCGCGTTAACGATTGAGAGACCTTTCCTTTCTTCCATCAATGGCATCACACAGATAGAAAATTTTTATCACATTAGCTGTAGGGCAGGGTGATAAACAGTGTTCCACTTTGTTTCTCTGTGAACAACAACTTCCTGCCTCCTACATCCATCTTTAGGAGAACACATGAAAACACGCTGTTTTCCCCTTGACAGGAGGAAGAAAACAGCTCCCTTGCCTTCTTAATATTGGTGAATGAGCCACTTTTGTGTAGATAATGACTCGGCTAATCATAATCAGGAAGCTAATGGTCTGTTTAGCCAATCAGAGGAGCCAAGGCGAGACGGCTGTCTGGGCAGTGCATTGGCATTCCCAGCAGCCGCTGCTCTCCTCTCGGCTGTGCCAGGCTATCTGCAGCAGCGAAGTGGACTTGGTATTCTGCTGCCCGCCCGGCCTGTTGTCCTGCGATCTGTCGCTCTGTCTGCCCGAACGGCCGAACGGCCCAGGCACTGTCGAAGAAATTCAGTCCTCTGAAGAGGCGCTGATCCATCACACCTCTCCGGCAGCATGTCATCTAAATGCTAAGTACTTCCACTGCATCTTTAAATCAAAACAAGAAAAGAAATGAGCATGGGGGGCGAGCGGTTGGAAGGGATAAAAGCTTATAAGGGCACAACAGAATCTGGTTTGCAAACCCTTAGGTTTTTGATTACATTCATTTTTAAGGGGAGGAAATGTGGGAGAGGAGAAACCGGGAGAGGGAATGTGCATGAGGAACCCAGAGACCTTGTTATCCCTTCAAATGTACAAGGAGAAAAAAAGAAAGAATAGATATTGATACACTTGCCCCAAAGGTTCCTTCAAAGAAAATAGTATGTTGTTTGATTTCTCTCCCAAAAACATCATGAATGTACCTGAGCTGCTCTCTCAATAGGGCCCCCACCTCTCCCCCGACTACCCTGTCTCAGTCGGACTCCTCCTATCGATCGGAGGGATTCTTGAAGTCAGAGCAGAGTGCTGAGGCGGCAGAAGTGGCCGGCACTATTAACTGCTCCTACTAATTAAAAGGGTAACAAGGTGAGTTTGCCCCCACGGGACGAACTGTGCAGGAGACGGAGCCGGCTGTTTGCCTGCCATGCACACCGGTAAACAGTGCTCACCGCCTATGGTGTTTACAAGACAGGAATCCAAGGACATCGAAGACATATTCATCTCCCGCTGGCACGAGGGATAAGGGAGATCCACAGATAAGGAGAGAGAGAGAGAGAGAGAGACCGGGGAGCACACTATTAAGCACGTCTCTAATTGCTTATGTTGTGGTGAAATTGAAACATTTGGACCTAGTCTCTGAGCTCGGGGTGCCCTCGTTTCATCGCCACTTGTAAACATTGAGCACTGTGCATAAATGATAAAGTTTCACAGTTCAAATGAGGTGCACAGCCTGGATCTTTGAGAGAGTGCCAGCGGAGATTGGCAAAAATATTAAGGGATTCAATTAACTTCCTTCCTTATCATCAACGCAGCATATTTTAGGATCAAAGTATTTTGAAGATACAGTATTCCTCGCATTACTACACAAATAAAATCCTCAGCCAAGGTAGCATTACAACTCCCAGAAACCTCTGTAGCCAGGAGGGAAAGCCACTGCAGGTATATAGCAGACAGCATGTTTGCTCAGTGCTCAGGGGGAAACAAAGCAGAGAGTGTGTATTTGGTGGCACTTCAAGCCGCAAAATTCTCACCAGCAGCCCACCCAGCTATTATGGAGACAGGCGCTGTGCTATCACTGCAGTAACTAAAAATCTTTCCCCAGGGTCTCTCCTAACAAGTGGACTCCTGCACAGGGCTTAGTTGGTTTCATCAACTGGAGACTCATAGAGGTCCCAGTCATTACCAGACACTACAACTGCTGTTGTTAGTAGGCTAACAAGCACAGCTATAGCCAACTGAAGACCTTGAGTGGATGCTTCATGGCCAGAGTATGAGCCTGATGTACAAAAGCATCAGAGCATCGGACCCAGAGCTATCTCAGAGGAACAAAACCAACATTAGTAAAACATTGGCTTATGTTTGTTGGCTGGGCAGCTACAGATAAAGCAAACATCTATTGACCAAAATTCAGATAACTGTAGTAAAAGTAGAAATATAATAATGTAATATTAGTCCATCACAAGATGAAATCCTGCATTAAAAAAAATATGCAGTGATTTTGAAAGTTTCAACAGTTTCATTGCATTCATTGATTTTTTTTTTTTACACTATGGGGCTTTGAAACAAGCTGTAAACGCTGAGCTGTCAAAGCTGTTAAGGATATTTTTATTCAATTTCCTTTATTTACCCTTTTATTTAACCAGATAAAAACCAACTGAAATAAAAATCTCTTTTTCAGTGTCGACCTGCCCAAGAACAAAACAAAGGTAGGCTATGTATACATTGATTCCATACATACAATAAAATACATCATATACTGAGAAAAAACTACTGTCCACACATTAAAAGCAAAAGTTGAATGCACACAGATAATGTACAATACATGCAGACAAAAGGACGTGCTGCATTAAGGCCAATTTTTTTGAGCAAACTATTGCTCATTTAGTTGTGTTATGTAACTGTAAGTCCAATGCTCTCTCTCTTTTAGCTCTGTTTTGGTCTCCACCAATGTGTGAGGTGAATATCCTGCTGTTAAGCTGCTAAATGCTCCACTACTTTGACCAGCTACCTGCTAATTTTGTCTGTATGTAATTTGTAGCTGGGCAGGTACAGTGATTTTATCACAGATGTTTTGCGGAAAACAGCTGCCTGCCGTTTAAAATGAGATTGAGAGCAGAATTTGGAGGCCTGAAAACCAAAACAGTTAGCTGAAGGTGGCTAAAGTGCCAATAGCTGAGGGAAACTGCATTTTTGGGTGAACCCTTTCAAATTACACATAGCTATTTGATCCACTGGTGGTAGAAAAATATGTATGTAGTGCAGCTTTAACTCTGAATCATGTATACTTCACATTTTTGCTGTCCATGTTTGGATGCTGTTGTTCCAGGCAATCAATAGTTTATACTCATTTCTGTACAGTATGAAAATCAATAAGCAGGCTGTTGAAACTGGCTTGAGGCTTATGGTCATTACATTGAACATCAAGTCTACATTCTTCTTGTAAAAGCTACTATACTGCTGTATGATAATGCAGTTTAGGTGCATTAATATTCATTTGAAAAGTGGTGAATTACCTTAAAACAATAGTGTAACTTTGACAAAAATGAATGAGGACTTGATCACAGACACTGTGATAGAGAACACAAATCAAGAGCCTGTCGAGAGCCTGTGTATTGATTTTCATTCTGAAAGAAATGAATGGAAAGCAAAGGACGCCTGGAAAGGAAAGGGAAAAAAACACATTCAAACACAAATACAAGTACAAAGTACAAATACTCACTGTGCATATTGTGATGTTATTGTCTACTTGCACCTGGGTGAGAATAATTAAACAGCCGTCCTACAGCTATTTACACCCATGACACATTATTATGGATCCCACTGCATGCTGTAATTTGCTAGTACTTGTCAGAAGTGGTTAGAATTAAGGCAAAGAGGCCATGGTAAGGATTAGTTCTAGCCAATCTCAGATAAAGTTAAAGTGGACAATTTAGCAGAAAATAACTCACAAAAGTACTGCCAGAAAGTCATGTGACGCAGTATTAAGAGCTACACAGTCCATGAAAGGAGTGAGATGTGGTGGGTGGATGGCTCAAGCACAGGACTTTCTTGCAAGAGACTGGGCTTCAGGTCTTGCGCAAGTCAACACTGGCTTAATATTTTTAGACTTAGTAGACTATTTGAATTTTTTAGGATGTATAAAGCTGCTGAATGCACTGTGCTGCTTTGTATGTAAACTATAGCAGAAAAGCTGAGTAGACCTGTTCTTGTTAACATCATATTTTGACATTGCTAGGATGCCAGGAATTTATACCTGGTTGTAAATAGCATTTTTAGCTACAGACAGCTGGGTGTCAAAAACATCTGCGAATATAATAACAAGTATATGATACTGTGAAATTATTACTACTGGTAAATTAAGATGTGAACTGCATTTTAATATTGTAGCTGGACAAAGTAAAGGTTATTTTCAAATGTTTTGAGCTTTGAGGTTAAGTCAATAAAAATACATCATATTTTATGAATGAATCATATGTTTTGTTTATCGAATACTTAATGTAGAGTTAAAAGAACATAATGTCATATTACATTTGATGTAGTGTATGTAGCATAAAATTAAAAATATTTTTACATTATTATATTTATTTATTTTTTTACTTTAAATTACACTTTGCAGTGTTTTCCTGAAAAACAAACAAACAAAAAAACAATGATATTTATAGACTTAAACAGAAGTAATCCCCCTTACTCATCACTTATGACCAACTATAAGTGTTGGTGGTGTATTTTTCTGCAGAAACTCTGCTCTCTGCCTGTATATACTAATTGTTTCTTGAGGTCATGATTTTATAAAAAAGTAACGAGGTGCCAGACCATAAGCAGCAGACATCCAAGGGACACAGGGCTGAAAAAAATGCAAATACAGCAGGGCAAAACACCAAATGAGAAGTCTGGGGGTTAATTTAGGGTTGATTTTTACTTTCATTTTTGTTGGTAAACGTGTTCACAAACAATAACTAACAATCCTGCATAGTACACCTTTAAATCACTGGAAACAGGTTATGTTTTTAGGGTGACATCGTCATCTTGAATGGGACAAAAA